TCACGTTCTGTATATATATATATACCTTGGCTTTTCTTGTAGCTTCTTTGTAGCTTTCCCTGCCTCCATGTCTGGCACATCCTACGCCAGCTTGCGCGTGACCCGGAAACTAGCTAAGGGTTTAGGGCGAAGGGCGTAGCTTTACTGTAGCTTCTCTGTAGTCCTTGATACAAAATCGATTCGCTTTGCATCTGAGCGATGGGCGACGTAACCCTAGTGTAATCTTCATAGAGCCCTTTTACAGGGACCTGATTTATTTATTGGGTCTTTTCTAGGTATGTACGCCCAAATCCTCAAGCTTAAACCTCTAATTCACCCTAAGCCCCAAATCCCAAACCCTAAACCCTAAATCCTAAATCCCAAACCCTAAGCCCCAAATCCTAAATCCTAAACCCTGAAACCCCCAACCCCCCCAAACCCCTTAAACCCTGAACCCTAAATCCTAAGCCCCCCCAAACCCCTTGAACCCTAGGCCGGCATCTCGCTCCCTGACCTGGCAAAGAAAGCCGAGGCTGCAAAGGCCGGAAGTCTTGTGGGGAAGGGTGCCCATCAGAGGTTAGGGTTTAGGGTTTAGGGTTGTCACCCAGACCCCCTATAAACGATCCAAAAACCGGAACCCTAAACCCTACACCCCTAAACCCTAAACCCTCCAAAACGGAGCTTTCCCCAAAACCATCCCTTTGCTACATTGGGGAACCATATTGGGGGGATCGTGTACGGGGTCTGGGTATGAGGGTTTTGTAGGGCTTTTGGGGCCCTTTCAAGGGGTTATTGGGATTCTACAAGGATATTTTGATGTCAGAGATACATTCCCCCAAACGAACATGGAAACCCAAATAGTCCCCTTTAAGAATGACTGCAATCTTTATAGGGCCTTTTCTTGGGTTTCCATGTTAGTTTCCGGGAGCGTAATTTACACGAGGTTGCATCCTAAACCCTAAACTCTAAACCCTAAATGCATTTCAGGGTTCTGGAGGGCTTTGAGGCCTTTTGGAGTTGGAGGCGTTGGATTGAAAGGCTTTTCTGGAACCTGAAGCTCCTTCCTTTCCAGGTTCTCTCCAACTCAGAATTTGTGGAGTTTAGGGGTTTAGGGGGTTTAGGATGTAGGGTTTAGGGGTTAGGGGCTTAGGGTTTAGGGTTTGCAGGTGCGACATCCGCAGTCCAGGTAAGCAGTGTGCAGTGGCGTGCCTTTCCACGCAGTTGAACTAGCACGGCTGAGGTATGTTGAGGTTTACAGATCAAAGACACAAGGTTCGGGCGAATCTGATTCCATGATTGAATTCTGGCTTTGTTTCCTGGTTGTTAGGAACAAGGGAATATAATCCTTATGAAGTACACTCCCTTGTTCCCTGCTAGCAACTGGGGTGCAGGGTCTCAAAGCGCAGTGTTAGGCGCTGTAGAGTGTAATTGAGGTGTAGAGTCTAGGGTTCAGGATGTTCAGCATGTAGATGCCAGAGAAATTACGCAATTTCCCTTGATCCTCAGATATGTATATGCATATCGTCAGTTATATGTCCATACATATGAACATATGTATATATAGATATATGTATATTATCATCTATCTATATATATATACATATTCATTTGCAGATGTATGTAATGTAATGTAATGTACTGTAATGTAATGTAATTATTCGCCGTCTAGGCCCCTACACCCTGAACAATTAACCCTAAGCCCCTGAGCCCTAAGCCCTAAACCCTAAACCTTCATAAAAACCCTAAACCTTAAACCACTAAAGCAAAAGCCCTAAAACCCTGAAGGCCCTGAACCCTACAGCCAACATTATCCCCTCCCCTGCATTGTGAGATCGACGGATCTATGCTGGACAGCACGGAAGTCGCTGTGCCGAGGCGACGGCCAAAAAGTTCCAGGGTTTGGGGTTTAGGGTTTGGGGCTTAGAATTTCAGGTTTAGGGTTTGGGGTTTGGAATTTAGAGTCGGGCTTAGGTTGTAGAGCGGTGGATTTAGGTTCATTGTTTAGGACGTACAGTTCGGGGTTGAGGGTTTTGGCTGCGGTTGTCAGGATTTTAGGGTTTAGAGTGGAGGGTTCAGGGGTAAGGGCTTAGAGAGAAATCACAAGGTGATTAAGGGGCGATGTTCAAGAGGGGAGGTACTAAGAGACTTTGGGGGGCCTTGGCGAGTACTAGGTGGGGTCTGTTTCGGACTGTTTGTGCGTGCGCGTGGCTGATTATAAGCTCTTTGCTTTGCCCTCAGAAGCTTTATATTCTGTATTCATTGTGATTGGAGCAGGACCGTTGGCAAGTACCATTAAGAGCTGTTTCGCTTTACAGGCTGGGTGCCGGCTGCCCAACTAAAGTTCTTATCATTTAGTCATAACTTGTGGTGATCATCTTATCATTCTTATCATTGCTTTATTCGGTCTGCATCATGGGTATCATGTTTTTTCATTTCTGAAGCTGTTTGTTTTTCTGGATCTGGGGTCAAGGTCGACGTCAGCTTCAGCTGGTGAGTCAATTCCATGGCTGGCTTGTCATGCCACCCGCGTTGCGAAAGATAGCCGGTTAGTTGAGCAGGGGGCAACCCTAAACCCTAAACCCTAGCGAAGGGGCAGAGAAGGGTCGAATGCACCTCCAGGTTGGCCTTGGCCCAAATCATAAGAACTGGATACCCCGTGCCCAGGGTGGCTCCCCAAAATTAGAAAAATGATGTTATGAATCCAACCAGGCCACTTCAGCGATGATATGATAATGATAGCTCAGATGATACCTTCAGAGTATGGCACTAGTTGGATGACAAACGATAAAACTGTGAGAATTTTTATCATAAGTAAATGATAAATAAATGGTGAAAATGATAGATAAATGATACACATAAAGCACATGATACCCTGGTCCAGACAGAATAAAAAGCGACAAGAATGATAACTCCGCATGATATGCATATATGATAACTAAATGGCAAGAAGGATTTTTGTTGTTGTCCAACCTCTACAGGCGGTTAGGGTTCAGCTCTCCATGCTGATTGGTAAATGCATGGTCATATCTAACATGTCAGCATGCACAGGACTTTGGGTTTAAGGGCTGAGGGTTTCGGCCTTGTTGATCGCCAACTTGGAGAGTTCCACGTTGAAGGAACGAGATATCCTTGTCCCAGCCTCAAATAATCCTCAACGGCTCCATGGTGCTGCGCACCCTAAACCCCGAAACCTAAGCCGCTTCAATGGTCCCTTCACCCTGGACTTGCCCCACACCATCAACAGTCAAAAGGAGGAGCCTCAAAAAACATGGGCTGCTGTTAAGGAAACTAATTAAGTTACCATAACTAGTGAGGAACCCCCTTTTTTATTGTATACCCATAAGATGGCATCTTAAATTAAGTTCCTGCACAGCAACTCAGAAGCTGGAACGTTCAAGCAAGTGCAATATTGGAGGACAGTAATCAGTGGGCGAGTATCAAATTTCTGACAGCCCAGATTGTTGGCGGGAACACATTCACGGGGTTTCAAAAATTGAGTTACCCTTATGTACACCAAACTAAGGGATTCTCAAAAGGCACCTTTCATGTTTGGAAGGTATATCTGTATATCCTTCTATAATGCAAAGTATTCCTGGACAACTCCCCAGCTGCCTCCTAACGGGACCCGGGATTTTTTTTGCGACCGCCCAACTGAGCATTTGGGCACGGGATGGCAATTTGAAGTCCCAAGCTTCGAGCTTAGGGTTTAGGAATTGGGGCCTATACTACTCCCCGCCTTCTGGTTCTGCTTCATGAGCTGGGGACGAGAAAGGCTAATTAGGGGGAAGCTAGCGGGTAGTATCTAGGGTCTAAACCCTGAACAGTAAACTCTGAGCCCTGGACCCTAAACCCTGAAAAAAAACTCTAGGGGAACCATGATGAGACATCCTCGGATTCTGCCATGATTTCACGACGGCTTTCATAGGCAGGATTTAGGGTTGAACCCTCCCACTAGCAATCTCCCCCCCAATCTTCTAATGATAGATTTCGCTCCCGGCTACATGATGATACATAAAACCATTCAGAGCACAATGTTTTGGACCAAAATCACGATTAATTGGGCACTTTGCCCGAAATCCTAAATCTTGAACTGGACTGCAGGCGCGTGCCAAAGCCCTAACCTCCTGCAGCCCCTTACAACCTGGACCTCAAGGAGGGTTAATGATCAGGGTTAGCAACCTACCTGGCTTATACTTGGGTATAGGGTCTAGCCCTAAGCCATAAACCTTAAACCCTAAACCCTGAGCCAACCTTTTTGATAAAAGCTGTCTGAGTCAGGACGTCTCAGCTTGTCTTAAGCCACGACTATGCTATGCAAGGACCAGCAAGGAGATAGTAGATCACGTCCCCCCGTGAAGGAACAGCATATGGGTTTTAAAGGTTTCAAGTTTGGATTTAGGCTAAGCCCTCGAGCCTAAACCCTACACTGTAATGTTGAGGTTTAGCCATAGTTCATGCAACCCCAGACTCTGACACCGATGCCAGGGATGCCCAATATCATAGTAAGATCCCCATATACCCCCAATTTTATCTACTTAAAACGGGACTGGACATCCTACACTAAACCTGATAAACCTTAAGCCGAAGCCTTGAGCCCTAAATCCTATACTCCTTGGGGACTATCCTGAGAAATTGACCCTAAACCAACATTAAACCCTAAACCCTTGAATCCTAAAACCCTCTTCCCATGTTCAGGCTCAAGGCCATCAAGTGGTGCTTCCGCCTGACTTGACCTGGGAGTTGAGGGTCATTCTTAAGGTACCCCGCTTCAAGCGAACACGGAGCCAGGTATTCTAGTGCGTGGGGTTTAGGGTTTAGGGGTTTAGGGTTCAAGGTTTAGGTTTCAGGGTTTAGGGTATAGGGTTTGTGTTGGGTACTGCCCCCACTGAGTAACAGCTGGATAATATTTATAATATAGTTATATATAGCCCTTAATAGGACCCCTAATATAGACTGTTACTGGGTGGGGGCAGTACCCAAGGTTTATGGGTGAGGGGCCAGGGTTCAAGCCCTAAACCCTGAACCCAGAGGCCCTTTGTCTAGGGCCTACGGTGTTCCATGCTACTTTGGGAGAGGGTAGATGGAACAGTCAGACGGGCTTCTTTGTGACCTCTTTAAGGGTTCAGGGTTCAGGACCCCTATCTGCATGCGGATGTTTTCGGAAGGTTTGTTGGTTTAGGGTTTAGGCTTTAGGGTGTTTCTGCAACAGCAAAGTTAAACTTTGCTGTACGGCAGCAAGCTCCTGGTCATTTGCCTGCAGAGGTTTAACCACAGACCATTTTGACCGAAAGCCTCACGAAGACTGAGAGCCTGCAAATACAAGCCGCCAACAAAATCCCCTGAATGCCCGAAGCCACACAACACCTGGACTGTTGGCTCTGCATGGGTAGCCCGTGCATGCGTTTCGTAGTCTAATCTGTTTTCATCACACACGAGGTCCCCCAGATGTGTTCCAAGGGGTAGGTATATAGCGCAGCGCAGTGAGTGTTTCGTTTAGGGTTTAGGGCTTAGTAAAGTTAATATTAGTATTATTATCACAGTTATTGCTATGATTACTATCACTTTTTATCATTGTTAGTACAATTCTTTTTCCAGTACTAGTAATATGGGAGTTTCCCGGAACAATCCACATGGAATCCTCAAAGGGGATCCTGATACTCTCCTTAGAATCCCTCGGGTTTTTCAAGGGGCCGCTGCTTGGAGAAAACTCCACATCGGTGTTGAGTTGCATTTTTTCGAGTGGCTTTTGTGGACTTTGGTGGTGAGGGTCTTAACCCTACAGCCGTTCAGGGCTTACTTGGAGGGTCAGGGGGTCTTAGTAAGTATACTCACAATCCCTATTATTGGCCATGTGATGACACCAGTTATCTTGTTCGTGAACTGACTTACAAAGCCCCCTGGCTCTTCAAACCGAGTGTAGAGCTGCCTACACAGGTAGTAGACAGCACCATGGTGTTGACAATTCATTATGTTGGTTGCCATCCGTGCGACGACACTTGCTCCGAGGCTATTCACACTTCTTGATTGGTTTGTGCTTTAATTGAATGCGATTTGTGTGTTTACACTTGGGCAGGAGTATCGGCCATGCCATGAGGAGCAGTCAGCTCCTGGGCTCTATGAAGCCTATGCGGTGGACTATGACGAAAACCATGAGATCGGACGCCTCTTTGCTGAGCCCATCGATTGGGTGGAGGATGCTCTCTTGCGGCGATATTTCCTTGCAATGTGCATCTCTTATCAGTGTTCAAGCCAATGCTCTTGATGGTCTGATTGCAACATCGGTCCGTATATTGTAATATTTTTTGCGCTTGGGCGCTTAGGTCGATAGACAAGGGTTTAGGGTTGAGGGTCTAGGACTAAACCCTGAACCCTAAAGCATGAAACCCTAAGCCCTAGACCCCAAGCTCTAAACCGCTCTAAACCCCTTCAACCCAAACCCTTACCCCTCAGTTTTCCTCACACCCTCCTGTTTCTCGCAGCCTCCTTCACTTCGGATGCTCCCCCCGGTAGGCGCGAACTTGGACATGAATGCCACATCCTGAAGCCCATCAGGGCTTAGGGTTTGGAATTTGGGGATATCCCATATCTTAAGGGCGTCCGAGGTTCTCTTGAAGCATCCCAGAGAGTTCACTCCTGCATAACTAAAGAGTCTACCGCAAGTCGCATGGGATCCGTTCGATGGATGATACGGTAATCTCCCCAAATAGGGGGACCCCAATAAAAACCCAAATATACTATAATCCTGACTCTGGGGACCCCCAGAGAGTTACCCCTAATTTTGGGAAACTCCCTAAACCCTAAACCCTATATATCCCAATAGAAACCTTGTAAAAACCCTATAAACCCTTTTGAAGGTACCCCTAATTTCGGGAAACCTCCATTTGACTGTAATAGCGTGAGTTCTGTAATCGCAAGTCCTTGGGCTTCCCAGGTCAGGGAATCCCAAGGCGAGGACTCTTCAGCGCCTGGGTAAACACTTTTGTGGAGATATAATCCCATTACAATAGATTCCATTTCCGTTTCCATTATCCTTATACAACCCCACCATAACCCCTATATACCCCAAGATAACCCCTATATAACACATTATAACCCCTATATAACCCATTATAGTGGTCCATTGTCTTTTGATCATTTTACAAAGCCCCCCACCCCCCTCCCCCACCCCCTCCGAGTTCCGGGAGGACCAACCTCGAAACCAAGGTTTGGGAAATTAATGGTTGGAGACCTGAGCTGTTGCAGATGGGTCCTTGTAGTCGTGGTAGGAGGTTGTGGGTAGTACGAGTAGTAGGAGTAGATGTTTTAGGGTTTTTCTTGGCCGGGGAACTGTGGCATTACAACCCTCAGTCGAAATCCTGGCCCCTTCTTCAACACTGAAGCACCAGTAAGTCGAAATACGCAATGTTGGAAGTGAAGACAGGTACAGCCAGCAGCTCTCGCCTCAGAGTTTTAGGGTTTCGGCGTTAAGGGTTTAGGGTTTTTGTAGCAGGTCACCTTACACCATTGGTTGTATTTGGGGGTTTCCAAGCCTCAGGCGCCCTTGTTTGGGTACCTTTTTTGGGATGAGGAACTGGCGTTTAGGGTTTAGGGTGTAGGTTTACATGCTTCGCTGTAGTCATGCAAAATGCGGTCATGAAGTCATGGTTGAGGAATAGAATACCCAAGCTCACCAGGCATTAAAGCACCGAGTCTTGTGCAGGATTCGTTCATATCTCAACCACCCTAAAGCTTAGAAGCTTCCTTCTAGCCAACAGACTTGAGTGCCAGCAGCAGGTTCCTTACCTTCCTTTGACAACCGTCGAAGATTTCATGGCAGCTCAAGCTGCCAAGAAAGGCATTGCCGCGTCGGAAGTTGAGATGATGTTGAGAGGAAAGGTCTTCCTGGGGAGACACTAAGTTCTCTACAATGCGAGTCAGAAAGACCCAACTGAGGCTGATGTCATGCTGGAGGACTCAAGGGGGGGACCATACAGGATGGTTTATTCTAGCACTGGGCATGCCGGAAGGCAAAGTTTGCTGGGCCTGGGAAGAGCACCTAGATGGAGACCCGAGAGCCAGGCCGTGAAGGCCTGTACCACAAAAAAGTATCACCCACATGATTTCCTGGAAGGTTATTGGGAGGGATACTAGAAGTTAAAAACTACGTAAAATGTTTGGGCATGGAACATGAGGCGGACATCCCTAAACCCTAAACCGCTGTATGGGCTTGGATCAGCAGCCATTTCTCGTGCCATGCCCCCTTATTTCATGTCTCCTGAATCAGCGACATGCTGCACCCCTAAACCCTAAGCCCCAAACCCTGACCCCCAAAACCTAAGCCTCATCTCAGTCGAAATATTCTTTCGTTGGGGCTGTGTCGGTCGCAGGTTTGGAGGTTGAGCTTGGGGGGTTTACGGTTTAGAGTTTAGGGCAGCAGCCCTAAAGCCCATAATAACAGCAAGAAGCTGATGATACTCAGTCTGAAGCTGCAAGTAAATATTCTAGGTACCCTTACGCTTTGAGGGCTTAGTACGGCCATGGAAAAAGCTATAGTTGAAGATGATTCAACCTGATCTGCAAACCTCCCGAGTAAAAGGCTTCACGGGACGTCTTTTTACTTGACTCGCTCGGAACCATTGTGGGAATACTGTGGGAATGGGGTTGAGCCTGCGGTTAAGGGTCAGACGCTACAGCAACAGAAAATGTCAAATACCTTGCTTGGAAGTTTATGGGACATTTTGAATATTCATGGCCGCAGATATAACGTAAGTTGTGATTCGGATAATTAACTTCTTCAAATCCAGTTCGAGGCATTGTAAATATGAAGCCAGGCTATAAATGTTTGCTAAGTCTCATGAATCTCCAGGTAAGGCTTCAGTTTAAGCAGTCAGCAGCAAGTCACCACAGGGTTTAGGGATTCAATGTGGATGATGAACCTAAGCTCCCCCCAACGCGGTAAGCATGCCGGTTCATCAGCTACACAACCCATTCGTATGGGTACTTTGGCTAGCTTAAACCCTACACCCCAGGTAAACCCTAAACCTAACAATGAACAACACGTGCCAAACCCGGGCTCAGACTCACAACACGGGGTCTAAGGTTTAGGATTCAGGGTTTAGGGTATAGGGCCCAGGTTTAGGGTATAGATTCTAGGATTCCAGCTTTAGGGTTTGGGCTTTAGAGAATACTTTCCTGGTCCTAGAACTAGCAGTGGGGCACCACATGGAAACGAACATGAGACATGGAATGGAAACTGAGTTCATATAGGGCCTTTATAAGAAGCAGTTACCTGAACCCTGTATACAGAATTATGTTACAGGGTGCCTCAGGCTTCCTCATTAAGCAAGGTTCAGTGCATTCGGCTATCGTGATGAATGGTTTGCTGATGTCCAGGCCTCAGACTCGTGGACCGAACAGGCATGTCTTACATCTTCAGGGGGGGCAATCTCTTCGCCACAAATTGACGCACGGCCAACCTACAAAAAGCATGGTCGCAACTCTGACAGGCGAGGATAGCTTTCTTTTCAAGAAGGGCCGTCATTGCTTAGGGCTGCAGAAGAACTTGATTGGGAAGAATGGGTATGCTTGAGAACTTGAAGGAGTCCAACAGCCGCATAGATTTGAAAGACTCTCTGAAGGCCAGTGTAGGTTGGACGTTCCATTTGGCGGCAGCAACATATGCTCTGAACACCGCAGCACAGAGAGTGTAATTTCCTTCATGCTAAGAGAACACTCTGAAGTCCTCCACGTCACCCGCCCGCTAACATTGAATGTACCCCAAAACTTATATGTTGGAGGACGTAGTTCATATATGTTAGGAGTGGGGGAGTTTTCAGTATTAGTATGAAAGGAGTATACCATGAGTAGGCTTTGGCAGATGTATGGGAATAGGGGGCCCCGTAAAATGTGTCCCGTATTGTATAATCCCACATGCTCAGCAGCTCTCCATAACTGCACTTATAGCCCTCGAAGACATGGAATAAGTGCAGTTTTGCCCACTGTACAGCCAATTACTAATGCCCCTTGACCCTGAAATGCTTCACCCTAAACCCTAAGCCCCGACCTTAAGCCCTCTTCAATCCTAGGCCCTGATCCCTAAAGCCTGGACTCTAAACTCCAAAACCTCAAACCCTCAAACCCTAAACCCTCCGATTAAGGTTACGTCCATCCTAAGGCCATATGTAAAAGCCCATGGGTTTAGGGTGAAGGGTTGAGGGTCTGCCATAGGCCCAGGGCTTATACAACCCATAGACCCTAGGGCCCTAGGGTTTAGGCCATAATGTTTGATGGAATTTGTTTTTTGCGAGTGTCTTGCTTTGCGTGTGCCTATACAATCTGTGCATTTACCTGGGCTTGAGGGTTTAGGATTTAGGGTGTGGATAATGGGCGAAGTCTTGCTCCCCTAAAAATCCGCAAAGCATTGCAATACCTGAGGTATCTTGTAGGCAGAGTGCGCAAGGCTGAATCATCAACCCTAAACCATCTGCAGCACGCCTCCCAAAACCTATGACCTATGGGTTCTAATCGGAATCCTTCTGGGAGTTCTCCGGTAACAAACCCGCCTTCGGATGTCTTAAAACCCCCTACATAACCCACGACCCACAACCCGAAAGCCTAACCTTAAAACCCCTAAACCCGAAGCTCTAAACCCTCATCCCTAAACCCTCAACCCTGACCCTAAAACCCTTAAACCCTAAACCCTGAACCGTATTTAGCTAAGGCCTTGTCCTACATGGATCGACTAGCGGTGGCAATGCACGACTGCTTGGGGCCCTGCTTGCCACGGCTTCGGGTTTAGGATTCAGGGTTAAGCCCTAAATCCTAAGCCTTTAACGTAGGGTTTAGGATTTAGGGTCTAGGGTTCAGTGCTGAGGAGTTTGGGGCTTCATGTCAAAGTCTTGATGAATTTCCATGTAGTCCCAGAGGCCTTGTATCATTTCAGCATAGGGTACCCCAAACAGACTTCAAAATGAATAGGGTAATGATTTGGGCCCCTACATCGCTAGGGCTGAGGGTTTGGCCTTTAGTTGTAGCATCTGGTGCTTATACTGGGTTGCTCTGAAGGAACTTAAATTAAGTTACCATAACGGGTATATATAGTTTTTAATAGGGTCTTCCCAATGTACTTACTAACTTAAATTAAGTTCCTTCACCCTAAATCGTAAACCCCTAAGCCCTAAACCCTAAACCCTAAACTCATGGCTGATGCTTGGGGAATGGCTCCAGTTGATTTTTTTCGCTCGTGCGATGTCTTCTGAGTGTGGATGTTGCCGTTGAGCGTGCTGCTATGTGTGTCACGAGATTGGCCAGAGCCCTGTGGCCAGACGTATCCTCTGGTCTCAAAAAAACAATCTTGAGGGTTCAGGATCTTGGGCTCTGGGCTTCGCATCTGCTTAGGATCTTCCTGCCGTTAGGGTTTAGGGCTTAGCCATTCCTGCCGACACCGCCGACGAGGCCTCCGAAACAGATACTTACTTAGCCCATAGAAGAACTTCAACCTTTGTCGGCCTTCTTTTTTTGGTAACTCTATATATGTATGTATATACAGATATATATATATATATGCTTGCCACCCCCCCCAAGATCTACGTTTAGAGTGTTTTTTCGCCAAATTAAAAAGAAATCCTTAATTCCTAGATTTCTCATTTTTGGA